ACACTCACGGTTTTACTTCCAAGGCTCTGAAGCACCAGTAGTGGTTTCATTGGGGAAGGTGGACTATAGAAGGGCCCAATTTCAGCAGCTGCAGATTTGATGCTTACGCATCATTCAACCCACTTTAGATGGGCGTGAAGCATGCTGTACCTTTAATGCACACTTTTATATGAACTAAACCAGGGGTGCCCAAACTCGGTCCTGGAGAGCCGATGTCCTGCAAAGTTTAGTTCCAGCCGCAGTCAGACACATCTAATCAACCTCTTACTAGGCTTTCTAGAAACATCCGTGCAGGTGTGTTGAAGCAAGGTGGAGCTAAAATCTGCAGGACGCTGGTCCTCCAGGACCGAGTTGTGCACCCCTGCACTAAACACTTCATATAAAAGCTTGCTGACTTTGACAAATGTTGATCAGGGATTATTCAAAATACATGATTTGCAGTTGAAGACAATATTATTGTCTCCTGTGAAGTATATTTAGTTTTTTATTTCCCAAGTGCTGTTTAATGGAGAGAACATTTTTCAAACCCAGTTTTAACCAATTTAATAAGGCTGCAGGATTAATCGGAAAAAAAGATCCTGATCTCAATTCGACCCACCACATGATCTTAATCCAGCATTTCTACGACTGAGCCAATTGTCTTTTCAAGGTCTGGAGGGAAGCGTAAAGGCGAGCAAAGTCTTTACATCGTTTTACATACATTGCTCAGCAATGTGGACACCTCCAAATAGTGTTTAAAGGGTCCCATACTGTATGTTCATTCAATCATTTTCTATTCAGTTTAGTCCTTTTATTAATTTGAGGTCGCCACAGCAGAATGAATCGCCAACTTATCCAGCATATGTTTTATGCAGCGGATGTCCTTCCAGCTGCAACCCATCACTGGGAAACTCCCATACACTCTTACATTCACACACATACACTACGGACTATTTAGCCTACCCAATTCACCTATACCGCATGTCTTTGTACTTGTGGGGGAAACCCACACGAACATGGAGAGGACATGCAAACTCCACATAGGAACGCCGCAAACATGCTACACACTGCGTCACCGTGCAGCCCTATACTGTATGTATAAGGTATAATTCAACCAAAAATGTAATTTCTGTCTTAATGACGTACTCGTGGCCTCGAATCACACGTGAGCTGACTGTCAGCTGTGTTTAACCACAGAGAGGACACACGCGCCAGCTAATGAAGTCTACTTTAGTAAACAGAGCATTTGATATGTTTTTTTTTTTTCTGTTAAAGCAAACACAGAGTGTTGTGTTTGACAGTAAACATATCACAGTGTCAGTATAACTACTCTAGCCTATATAACATTGAATATAATGCAAGAGGGAATCTGATAATGACAAATGCCCTCCTTTTACCAGTGAAAAAATGGTCTAATAATATGTTGTCAATGACAGATTGCAAGCATACGTGTCAAACTTAATGATTCAACTTCAAAATGAGCTGATGTCGTCACTTTACTGTGCATTAATGACCAGTCCACCGTTCCAAGGCTATACAAAATTGAGCATTTTAACCAAGAGTAGACCTACACATACGGCTAATATTATTGTTGTTTTACCATGCTTGAGAAGTGATAATAATAAAAGTCTACTCATATTAACCTTTATTTTACATCTACAGAATTGGGAGAAAATCGAGATCTATGTATATATATATATATATATATATATATAGATTCTCATTTTAGCCAGAATCGGTGACAGAGCATTACATCCCTTCTCGTACCCTAAGATCAGCCAACAACTCCACCCTGGTACCACCTCGCACTCAATTGAGCACAAACAGATCCTTTAGCTCTATGGCTTCTCGACTATGGAACTCGCTTCCCCAAGATCTAAGGAGCAGTGATAGTCTTCACACTTTTAAATCCTGTCTAAAGACCCATCTTTTTACGCAGCACCCATCTTTTTTTTTTTTCTTTAACAATTTTTATCATGTTTTTATTATGTTCTTTTATATTCGCTATTGTGTTTTAACCTGTTTGGTCAATGATTGTTTTAGTAATGTTTGATTTGTTTTAGCATGGCTGTTGATGCTTATTGTAAGGTGACCTTGGGTGTCTTGAAAGGCGCCATTTACAAATAAAATGAATTATTATTATTAACATTAATTTGCTAGATAGTATTCAGCTTAAAGTGACATTTAGAGGCTAAACTAGATTAATCAGCATTGGACAACAGTGGTTGGGTTTAATTGTAGCCAAATGAATAAAAATCTAATAAAATTGACCTCAGTAGAGTTTCATTCATTCATTCATCTTATCCGGGGTTGCCACAGCGGAATGAACCGCCAACTTATCCAGCAAATTTTTACGCAGCGGATGCCCTTCCAGCCGCAACCCATTTCTGGGAAACATCCACTCACACACACACACACTCATACACTACGGACAATTTAGCCTACCCAATTCACCTGTACCGCATGTCTGGACTGTGGGGGAAACCGGAGCACCCGGAGGAAACCCATGCGAACGCAGGGAGAACATGCAAACTCCACACAGAAACGCCAACTGAGCCGAGGCTCGAACCAGCGGCCTTCTTGCTGTGAGGCGACAGCACTACCTACTGCGCCACTGCCTCGCCCAGCAGAGTTTATAAAATTTCTTAATAAAATAATTTAATATAATAATGGGGGGGGGGAGGGGGGAATCAGTTTAAAAAGCACTTGGGAAATAATTGAAAATGAATTACAATCGAACAGGAGGGCTAATTAATATTAATAATTCCATCTTCAACTGTATATGTCTAGATTGAGACAAGGAGCCCACAATTTACAAGCCAATTGCAGTTTTGCTGTGTAGAGAGTTGAGCTGCAAAAGTTTGGATTTAAAAGAGGCTAAAAAAATCCTAATTATGCATTAAAACATCCCGCACTTCATTCAACCATAATCATACTCCGACTGGCCACAGTGCTGTACCTTTCAACATAATAAAATCAAATGCAAACATACAAAAACGACCAAATGTCTGTCCTGACGAGAATGTGAGAAATACATGCACCCAGCACCATTTATGCATCCCATGTTCCCATCTTACAAATTAAGTCTCCGGCAAATAACCAATTGCTGATGCCGCCATGGGCCGCACCTAATAGCACCATGCATTACGCATTATTTAGTGCAGATTATCACCTTTAAACAGCTGGACATGCTTCAGATGGTGCACAGAGAGACGGTAAGGCACCCAACGCTCACTGCACCGAGATGCACTCTTCAAGTAAAACACTATACTGACCCCTAGTGGCCCTCCAGTGAACGAGCACACATCAGGTGCTGAGAGCATCTCCACATAAAACACACACACAAGCTGCCGATCAGTCCCTCGTGCTGAAGCATGACCCGCCAGTCTGACTCCAACAAGTACAATAGCAGCGAAATCCTCTGAACAGGCAGGGCAGTGAGAAACGAAACTAAAAGCGAGAGTTGAAAGCGCTCTGGCTCGAGATTTTATTAAGGCCGTACAGTCGAATGTGGTGCCTTTCGGGTTGAACTACACTTTCAACTGCTCAACGTCAAGCATTTCAAGCAGGCACTTGTTAACACGCCATCGATCGTCCAACGTTCGAAAAATAAACTATAAAAGTGCCAACAATTCACACCTCCATCCTAAAAACCCACCAATCACGCATTCGGCTGCCTTTTAAATTCTCTTGCTCTCCCTCTTCCCCAAAGAGCAAACCGTGAGTCTTTGCACTGGAGGTATTCTCATCCCGCTTAATGGATTATTGCACTAAACTATGATCTGTCACACAACACGGACTATGCATTTGTTTGTTTAAATCGAGACAAAAGTGCTGAAAGGAAGTGAACACGACAGAGGAGCTGCGTTTGATCGAGACCAATAAATATTGGAGGGAATTTCGGCCGTTTGAAAAAGCATATCAAAACGTGATCACTTGCGTCATAGGTACAATTAAAGCTCACAGATATTACGGAGCGTAAAATATGCTAACGGTCAGCTTTCTTCCCCACTGTGGGGGTACGTCATAAAGGACTTTACGCTCGGCAATGGCACTTTTTCTAACAATAATTCTGCTTTAAAATTCTAACGCACGATTGGTTCTTCACAACGGACACTTTCAACACGTAGTTAAGTCACCATTGGCTACAAAAATAATCGAGAAGGGGAGAAAAGTACATAGTAGTAGTAGTAGTAAGAGCATGTGATGCCTTAAAACTTCCCAAAACTTCCGGACTCAGTCTTTTCTTCCATTCGAATCTCATTTTGGGGGGG